GCCGTCAAAGTTGCGGCACAAATCAACCCGACGTACGTCACAATATCGCGAACTGGGGGGTCGGGATCCTGAAAATATCGGGAGGCATCAATTTGGGTCTAGGGTCAAGGTCCAGATGTTAATTGGAGGGGCGAATATTTCCCCTAACTTAATATTGTTGAGAGGAAATACCGAATTGCGCACAAATATCTGAACGCTCGACCTATGCTACTAATATATTTGTCGCGTGATAAGTGTGAGGCAGGAAACCATCACCAGTGGCGAAATTGGAGGTCACAGAGTCAAAGGCAGTGGGGAAAGGCCTTAGCATATCAACATTTTCTGAGCGACGTGGCCTAAGGACAGCAGTGAAAAACTTTTTGTTTAAGCGCTGACTAACCATTTATCACTTTATGAAAGACCATAGAATGTGCTTCCACTACGTGCAAAGAGTAAGCTCTGTCTTGAAACTTTTTGACTCAGAGGAGCCGTTAAAACATGCCATCTTGAACTGCCTCAATGTGTCCAGTGTTCTATTCTCATATTTATGGCACATCCATAATCTAGAAAGCCAATACGCCTTGATAGCCCAACGACTACAGCACAGGATTACGGCTCAAAGGTCCTTGGATCGAATCCCATCAGATTTTTTATTTTTTACCTGTTTTCTGTATTTTTCTATCTTTATCCATTTAACTATTTTTTCCCAATTAACACAAATATTTACATGATTTATTTACACCAATTTCATAGCAAAAAATAATTTTTACAACAATTAATTTTTTTTTTTAATAGGGTTAGGGTTAGGGTCACAATGCACCATAAAACAGGAGTTTCAGGCACGCGATTTGTATCAACCAATGGGATTTGGGAGGTATGCAGAATGCAGAAGGTTGCTGAAATGATGTGTATGCAACTGAGTATCTGCATATCTGCGCCTAACAAAGGTGTCACTACGCACAACTTAAATGTTACGTTTATAACCATTGAAACATACCTCAGATGAGCCCAGATGCTCTGCAGCTCTTGTTATTCATTGTTACGTGTATAATTTGTATGGTTATTAAAGTTATTTATTTATTTATTTAAAATTTGTTGTTTTTATTTATCATTTATAATAATAATTAATAGTTAGTTATTATAATAAATCATTTACTTTCGTATTATTTAGCTATTATTTATTATGTTATTTTTATTACTGTTATATTATTCCGTAGGGATTAGCATCACGAATGCAATTTGTAAATTTTATTCATGGGGAAGCCCCGAGCACGCATATATAATCAGGCGGACCAACTCAAAAAATGCCTTCAGTCTAACAGGTCCGACGCATTTTGCATTTTCTGCCATATGGTGTGCGCATATTTGCATCTTTACCGTGCGCAATGGTGTGTGTTCCCCAGGACGAGGTGCACGAGAGGGATCGCTTCACAGACTTCCTGCTGATCTCGCTGCGGCAGCTGCTGTCGCGGCATCGTAACCTGAAGCTGATTCTCATGAGCGCCGCACTCGACACTGAGCTGTTTCAGAAGTACTTCGGCGGTTGTCCGATAATTAAAGGTGCCTGTTGTTCTATCGTCGATGAAAGCCGTGTTCATAGGGGCGAGGCTGTGCTTCAGTTAGCAGCTCCCGCAGTCTTAGGGGTGTTCATTCCCGTACTGTCTCCGGTGAAGACCAGCCTTAAAGGAGCAAGGCCTCACTTCAGTTCGCAACTGCGTGATAATTAAAGGTGCTTGCTACAGTCATTGACATTGTTTACAGGTGGCTTAGTGTTGCCTGAGCACGCGTGATTACATTTTTTCCTGCTTGTCAGTAAAAAGTAGTCTAAACTATATTAGAATTCTTTCCTTGACTACTAATACTTCTACTTCTACTACTGATACTTCTACTGATACTTCTAGTACCTGATACTGATACTTGACTACTTCTACTGATGTGGATTTAAACCCTTGAGTCCAGTATAAAATAAAGAAACTGAAAACAACAATAACAACGACTGCACGTTTTCGTAGCATGTAACCATGTTGTACGGATAGATATGGAGTCACCCGTGGTCAATCACAACATTATCCCCGTCATTCTGTCGTCAGATATTCACTGAAAGGTCTTGTATTGACTTCATACATCATTTTATACCATCATTTTACATTAGATGGTTAGGCCAAAACAAAATATATGTGTGGTTACCGTTACATGCCGAAAAAAATAGGGTAGGTAGGTAGGGAAAACATTTTATTTTCTTGAAATATTTTATTTACGAACCATGTCCGAAGGATGTGCGTTGTGCCTTGTGAAGCAGGAACTGTCCAATTCATTTTATTTTTATTTTTATTTTTTTTTGACTTCAAAGAAAATTGACAATAAAATGTTTAGGGTCGCTGGGAATAAATAGGGTCGGTCAGGAAACCGTAACCACACCTATATTTTGTTTTGGCCTTGTTGACAGTGAAATTTGCATTTAAGATTTTATGCAATTATCATGGTGTTTTGTGTTTCAGTGTCTGGTAGACTCTTCAATGTTCAGACAAACTACCTGGAGGATGCAATCAAGTTGTAAGTAATAGTACTACGTATGCTGCTGCTGCTGCTGCTGCTGCTGCTGCTGCTGCTGCTGCTGCTGCTGCTGATGCTTCTACTGCAACAGCTGCTGCTACTGGTGCTGCATGTGCTGCTTTGTGTGTTACTGCTGCTGCTGCTACTGGTGCTGCATCTGCTGCTGTGTGTGTTGCTGCTGCTGCTGCTGCTACTGCTGCTACTGTGTGTGTTGCTTCTGCTGCTACTGCTGTTCATCCCTCTCCCATCTCACCCGTACCCTGTCTCATCCCTCTCCCATCTCATCCCTCTCCCATCTCATCCACCATCCTGCCGTACCTGTACGACATCATATCTGCCGATCATAATATGTATCCTTGTTAATGTTGGTGACTACTGAATGCTCACCATTTCTGCCGAATTAATAATTGTGGCTTACCAAAATCTAGTTGCTTCCAAATTTGCCATGCTGTTCAAAATCCTGAAATCAGGAGGTTTTGCACCACCAGTGCTACTGAAACCCATTAACGTTCAACATCGTAGTCGCAGTCAAGCTAGGGGGGGGGGGGCTGTTGTCAGAATCGTTGTAAGTTATGACATCATAAGTCTACTAAAAAATATCAATTATCAAATATAATTTGCACATGAACTGTTAAGCTAAAGTTACGAAATTTCAGATTTACTATCGTGATAACCGTTTGTGGTGTTTTGCCTCGCAGTGGTAGGTGGCACCATGGGTGCTGACGTTTACGCACGCGTGTTTCAGAGTGTCGCCGCGCACTCTGCTGACGTTCTGCACAAGCGGGGTGCTGCTGCGCACACTCATGGCCGGCGACAGCGCCATGCCGATCGCTACCATCACTCACGTCATCGTGGTAAGTGTCGCCACCTAGAGCTTCATGTCGTTTATTGTTATTCATCTATTATTTATTATTATTATTTTTAGCTCATCTGACGTAGTCAGATGCAGCTTGTAGAATCGCATGATTGTGCGTGCGTGCGTTCGTGCGTGCGTCCGGCCGTCCGTGCGTCCGTCAACAGTTGGGCACAAATCTTAACCGCTCGACGTACGGTCACGATATTCGGGATGTGGGGGGGGGGATCGTGTAAAGGACTCGGGAGGATCAATTTGGGGGTCTAGGGTCAAAGGTCAGGATGTGTAATTGGAGGGGGAATATTTCTCCCTTAACTTAAGGTATAGGAGGAAATACGGAATTGCGCCACAAATCTGAACGGCTCGACCTATGCTCTTAATATTTGGTGTATATAGTGTGATGGGCAGGAAACCCATCACCAGTGCGAAATTGGAGGTCACAGGTCAAAGGGCAGTGGGGAAAGGTTAGATATCAGACATTTTCTGAGGACGTGGCCTAACGGACAGAGTGAAAAACTTTTTTGTTTAGCGCTGACCTACCATTTTTATCACTTTATTGAAAGGACCATGAAATGTGCTTTCCACTGACGTGCAAAGAGTAAGTGTCTGATAACTTTTTGACCCTCAAGAGGAGGGTTAAACATGGATTCTTGAACTGCCTCAATGATGTCACAGTGTTCTCATATTTATGGCACATCCATAATCTAGAAAGCCAATACGCCTTGATAGCCCAACGACTACAGCACAGGATTACGGCTCAAAGGTCCTTGGATCGAATCCCATCAGATTTTTTATTTTTTACCTGTTTTCTGTATTTTTCTATCTTTATCCATTTAACTATTTTTTCCCAATTAACACAAATATTTACATGATTTATTTACACCAATTTCATAGCAAAAAATAATTTTTACAACAATTAATTTTTTTTTTTAATAGGGTTAGGGTTAGGGTCACAATGCACCATAAAACAGGAGTTTCAGGCACGCGATTTGTATCAACCAATGGGATTTGGGAGGTATGCAGAATGCAGAAGGTTGCTGAAATGATGTGTATGCAACTGAGTATCTGCATATCTGCGCCTAACAAAGGTGTCACTACGCACAACTTAAATGTTACGTTTATAACCATTGAAACATACCTCAGATGAGCCCAGATGCTCTGCAGCTCTTGTTATTCATTGTTACGTGTATAATTTGTATGGTTATTAAAGTTATTTATTTATTTATTTACACACACACAGAAGAGCAGAAGCAGCAGCAGTAGCAGTAGCAGCAGCAGCCAACACACACACAGAAGCAGCAGCAAACACACACAGAAGCCAGAAGCAGCACCAGTAGCAGCAGCAGCAGCAGCAACACACACAGAAGCAGAAGCAGCACCAGTAGCAGCAGGCAGCAGCAACACACACAGAAGCAGAAGCAGCACCAGTAGCAGCAGCAGCAGCAACAACAGACGCAGCAGCAGCAGCAGCAGCAACAACAGACGCAGCAGCAGCAGCAGCAACACACACAGAAGCAGAAGCAGCTCCAGTAGCAGCAGCAGCAGCAACACACACAGAACAGACAGAAGCAGCCACAGTAGCAGCAGCAGCAGCACGCCACACAGAAGCGGCAGCAGTAACACACACAGAGCAGCAGTAACACACACAGAAGCAGAAGCAGCCTCCAGTAGCAGCAACAGCAGCAACACACACAGAAAGCAGAAGCAGCTCCAGCTAGCTAGAGCAGCAGCAAGCAACACACACAGAAGCAGAAGCAGCACCAGTAGCAGCAGCAGCAGCAACACACACAGAAGCAGCAGCAACACACACAGAAGCAGAAGCAGCTCCAGTAGCAGCAACAGCAGCAACACACACAGAAGCAGAAGCAGCTCCAGTAGCAGCAGCAGCAGCAGCAACACACACAGAAGCAGAAGCAGCACCAGTAGCAGGCAGCAGCAGCAACACACACAGTAGCAGCCAGCAACACACACAGAAGCAGAAGCAGCTCCAGTAGCAGCAACAGCAGCAAACACACAGAAGCAGCAGCAACACACACAGAAGCAGAAGCAGCTCCAGTAGCAGCAGCAGCAGTAGCAGCAGCAGTAGCAGCAGAAGCAATC